ATATACAAATTTGTCCATTGCAATCTCTTAAATAATACAAATCACTTCTATCACCCTCTCTTTCATGTAAGAGCTATTCACGTGCCAACTACTTCCCATGAAATTAGATGTATAAACTCGCTCTTCGATGTCAGTTCCCCTCTAAAGATTAAAGTCTAACATTTATAGAGATCTCGCTTTAGGAGTTCAATCATTGAATTCTTAATAATTTGAGGTAATTTCACCATCAATAAGAATTGTTTTAACATTTAAAATCTTTATCAATAGTTTTAATGACATAAAATATGTTGCTAAGTGCTGAAGTTGAAGCCAAATTTGTCCTGTAGATCTTGCCCAAAGAATAGAGAGTAAGGATCAAGGAAGAAAGATGCAAGGCTTTCCCTGTAGGGAGAAGAGGGGTATTTTTGAGCTCTTTAGTCTCGTTTATTTTACGAATCTAGTAATTACATTGGGAAGGGAGAGAGTTCTTACATGAGAGGGGTTGAGAGAGAAGAGCACAAAAAGATCTTTAATACATGTCATTAGTTCCTTTATTTATAAAAGATAAAAAGAAATAGTGTAATATTATATAATTATTCTTTCTTTAAGAAGGCCATTACAAGTTGTTTTAATCTTTTGTCGTCAAAGCATATTGCTCGGGATCTCGTCGGCTGGCAAATCGAGCTTTGGTTGGCGGCCAACTAGAAAAATGCTCATCCGGCCAAGGTAGTCGGCTCAGCCGAGGGAGGCCAATTAGAGGTCGGCAGACCAAGGGAGGCTGGCGAGGGAGGGAGAGTGGCCGGCCATGGGCAGCCGGCTGGTTGGCTAAAAAGCTACAGGTCTTGATATTTTTCTCATACATAAAGCCCCCAAATATTTTACTTCTTGCAAGCGAAATTGTAATAATAATGAGAGACCTAAAATATAAAAAAATACTATAAGAATGATTCACTAGCTATACTCCCTTATTTTTTAGTACTTTCCTTGCTCCCTTTTTGGGTCAATTTTTGATGCGTTGATTGGAAAAGAATTTTAGTTGAATTCTATATATGATATCACCTAACTCAAGTCTTACTTCTTGCCTCATCTCATTTGCTTGGTTGGATCGTCACCTCAATTGGGTTGCACCTTTCCTCGGGTCTTAGACGGATCTTGTTGTTGCCTTCGTGGGGTTGGCGAGACTCACTACTGAAATGATTTGTGTCGTACCCTTCGCAGCTATTGGGTAAGGAACCACCTCCGGGGCTTTTTTCGAGTTGAGTTTAAAGACGGATTTTTCGATGCTTTGAGTGTGAGGGACATTTTTTTTTATTTCTCTATTCAAAATTTTTTCTTCATTGGTGTGATCCTCTTCTTGTTGGCAACGCGATCCACACTCACTGCACCAATGTTGAAGCCAGATTTGTCCTATAGATCATGCACATGGAATAAAGAATAAGGACCGAGGGAGAGAGCAGCAAGGCTTGCCCGTAGAGGTGAAGAGGGGTGTTCACATGCTCTCTGGTCGCTTTTAGTTTATGAATCTAGTTATCACAAAAGGAAAGGGAGAGAGTTCTCCGTACATGAAAGAAGTTGAGAGAGAAAAAACCCAACAAAATCCTTAGTAAATGTGATAGTTCCTTCATTTATAAAAGAAAAAGAGAATAACATTACTACTTTTGCTTTAAGGAGTGTGGTATATATTATTTTAGCCTTTTGTCAAAAGAGCATATTGCTCAGGGACCTCATTGGCCGGCAGATTTGGGCTTTAGTCGGCGGCCAACTGGAAAAATGACCATATGGCCAAAGAGGTCGTCCAAGGTGGTCGGTCCGACCAAGGGAGTCTGGTTGGTGGTCAGCTGGCCAAAAGATGGCAACTAGAGAATCAGCCAGCTGGTGATTGACTGACCAAAGAAGGCCAACTGGGGAGGGAGAGTGGTTGGCCATGAGCGACCGACCTGTTAGGCGACTACCGACTGGTTGGCTGAAAAGCTATAGGTCCCGATATTTTCTCTCATACACTAAGATAATCCAGATACCACCATATTATCTTCATGAATGATAAATGCAAATTGCTGTTGATAATAATTAATTTGATGCAAAAAAATATATTTCACATATACCTCTTATAGAGTAGTACCAGAGTTAACCCAAAACCACAACGGAAATACAAATATTATTTCTGAATTCTAAATATTTTACAAATATGTTATGAGGTAAATATACGAAAAATAAACAAAACAATATAAACAATAAAAGGCGTTCGTAAGGGAAGATGAGGTAAACTGCTAGACTGCAGTTGGTGGCTGAGGAAAGAGGGTTGTGGCTATAAGGTGTGAGAATGTAATGGGCAGTCGCTGGAACAGCAAGATAGATTGGGGTGCCAATCAAAACAACAGTGGATTGCTATTTGGGGCTATTAGGCAGCAGGAAAACAACAAAATGAAGGCATTGCGTGCTGCAATAGCGAAGGTGAAGGTTTGGTATAGTGAGTGTAGCGAGGACGACAAAGAATAAGGCGATGGGGACGGCTGGAACTGTAAAAGACAGTAGATCCATGCTGTTCTGAATGGTGACAGCAAGGGTGGCAATGGTAACAACGTCAAACCGCAGCTTGTGAGGTGCAGGAACGCCGTCAAAGGCTGGATTGGCAGCTGCGGTGAAGGCAAAGAGGTGGAGTTGCAGTGGAAGTAAGACGGTCGCCAAGAGGATGGACAAAGAGATAAATATCTTGACAGAGTCGAGCTACAACCGGAGCACCACCCAAACCCGTGAAAACAATCACCACCTCAGATAGGGGACAACTAGAGCACTACATTGACGTCGAATACAACCCTCAAGAGAGAAATTACTCATACAAAACTGAATTTAGATTTCATAAAACATACCCTAACTCAAAACACAATCTCTCATATTTATAAAGAGACATAACATACCTCAAGAATCATTTAAGATAAGAAGTTATCAGATTTCAGATTTGAGGAAATGATTTAAATTAGAAATGACAATAAAAATCAAATTTCTGTTTTTAGGAAATGTTTTAAATTAGGAAGATGAATAAAAATCAGGATTTAGACTTTCAAATAAAGATTTAAATTAAGAAAAGGCCCGAGAAGGAAAAAAGAAAGAGAAAGAAAGAAAAGAAGGGAAAGGACAAGGAAGAAAGGAGGGGAGGTGGGCCCCCTCCAAGAGGACCGATCAGTCCAACTAGGCTGGACTGCGCCCAAACGGTTACCCATGAGCCCCGCGTCACAGAGCATAATAATAATGCATAGAACTTATCCATATCACTATAGAATTCACACCAATAAACCAAGCATAGCATTAACACGATTTTACCAAATAAGGCTTAAAATGAAAATACATCAATTTCTGGCCATGGTGACTACATGTAAAAGCCACAATTAAAGTCATATAATAGTTTTTCAAATTAGTACCACAAGAATAAAATATTTCCACCATTGACAATTGCAACTTGATCTTTACAGCAAAGTTATGGAAATGGGCAATAAAACAAACCTCAAGTTAGAAAAAAATTACAAGTTATGATAAAATTTGCAAAATTTATTTCTGAAGATGCTGATTAGTTTAATTTGGCTGCTTATTACTCTTGTCTTGAACATGGCTTCTTGTTGTGAGGTGCTTTGCTTCCGGGTAAATGCAATCTAGCATATAGTGGCTTTGGTTTTCTTGTTGTCCTATCGAAGCCTCTCACACACAAAAAGCCTACAAAACACAAACATCAATTAAGAATTACTTCCAATGCCCAAAAGAAGTTATGCTATTGGCTCTGTTGTAAGAGTCCATTGTCAGATAAAGAAGGAAGGTAAATGAGTCAAGTTGAGCTCGACTTGGGGTTATTAGAGCTCGACCAGTCTCCTCAATGTCGGGCTTAAACTCAAGTTGGGCAACTCACTAATATATTCCAAAGCCCAAGCTCTTCCGGAGATCGTCCGAGAAGAACCGGAAGTTGCAAGAGCTTGTTGGAGCTCGCTCGCGAAGACATCAATCCAATAGTGAGGAAGTTGAGCAGTTCACTATAGAATGTATCGACGGGTCAAACGACATTTGGTAATGAAATGAAGCTCGTAAAACTACCGCCTCCCTTTAGGATTGGATTAACTAAAGCAGAAAGAAAAAAAATATGGGAATAAGGGTTTCTGATCGAGTTGATTTAGGAGCCAACAAGTCAAACTAACTCGAGCTGAAACTCAAAGCTCGTGTAATATAAAAGCTATAATTCATGCTCAAGCTCATGCTTATAGTTCGAGTCGGCTCACAAGTCAGCTTAGCTCACAACTCTAAGCGAAAGTCATCAAAGTTTGAGTAATAAATTAAAATTCACAAACAATATTAAATGCAATATCTAATTAGATATTAAAATGAAATTGTTGAATATTAAGTAACAATAAATGAAT